ACGCGCAACGCGTAGCGTATTGATAAGGAGCTCAACACTTAAACTGAACACGTAGGTCCGACGCGATACACTCGCCAAGACGCGGGCCAATACGTGGAGCCAACACGCAACGCGTTGACACGGGCGCTTTCCAACACGGCATGCGTTGCGTATCAAAGCGGGCGTATCAAGGCAGCTAAGCTGATGACGCGAGCTCCTAACACTCCAGCATCCACACCTTTATCTTGCGCAGGCGCGACTAGGGTTGCGCTGAGTCGACCCAAGACTAAGGTACAAACCCAGGACCTCAAACAAAAACGTTGACGGCTCTTGAGCGCCAGGAAACCTCGAACCAAATCTTGCCGCGAGAAAATCTCTAAACGAATCTCCTTTAAAATCTTCCGAGAAATCTCGCCCGCGCAAAATCTCCCCGAGAATCTCCAGAAAATATCCCGAGGGATCTCGCCGCCGCCAAATCCCAAGCGCACTCTCGAACTAAATATCGCCCCTTGTAAATCCCAGACAACATCTCCAACGAAATCGTACGAAATCCCCCCCCGAGAATCTGCTGGCCAACGTTCGCGCCGCGCGCGGCGCGGCGGCGGTGGGCGAATCCTTTTGACATCGGGGCCATGCTGATTGGAGCTTGGAGCGCCTGACGAATAAACGGCAATTGCGGCGCGGACGGGCATTCTCCTACCCTCGATTGGGCGACTGCCTCGGCCGCGACGCCGGGCGGCGCGCGCGTGGGAGAGGAAGGCCGATGGACCGATCCCTTTCTTACGTTCCGTCGATAGAAACAAGACGCTGGCAACGGGATGAAGATGCAATGATCTCGAACTCACTGCCAGAGATATCTCGCGAATGTCAACATCGCTTAAACCGAGCGGGGCAGCAGGCATAAAAAGTAATATTGGAACCGCGCGGAATTCAATCGCGGCGAACCCGGAGATCGGCGCCGCGCCGCCCGCCGACAGCCTTACAATTCGACAGGTTGGCGGCCCCCGCGGGCGCAGGCTTGCAAGAAACTATGTTGCGGGGATCGCGACCGCCATTCCCTGGGCGAGCCCAATTAGGGCGCCACTGCCGGCGCGCGCGCGCAAGAATGGCCCGCGCCCGCGCGCGACTTATGCGGGACTGGGCTCGCGGCGCATTCGGGAAAAAGCCTTCCCGGGGCGGGGGCGAATTGACCCATGGCCATGACGAGCCCCGCCATAACCAAAAATACCCCTCGGCCTCACCCAAAATAGCTACGGCCGAAGGGGGAGAGGAGCGGAACTAGGGGCCAGGGGGGATGATGAGGATGGAACTGAAGAGGACCCAGAAGCGCAAGAAAAGCGGCCACGGCCGCGCGCGACTCGAACCGTTCGCCGGGCCAGTTTCCAGGGATAAAAGATGCCGATGTGCCGACCTCACCACGCAGGACGGCGCCAGGGCCTTGGAGGCGGACGAGGGAGAGGGAAGGGAGGATGAACGAGCCGAAAGCTGGGGCCGCAAGGCCCAAGGCGGCCGCCCGGGGGCAACAACGGCCACCCCACGCAGGACGGCGCCAGGGCCTAAGAGGCGGGCGAGGAAGAGGGAGGGGAGGATGGACGCGAAGGGGGGTGAAGACGGAGGATGAAGAGGTGGAGGTTTTTGCCCAACGGGTCCAAGTGTTTGCCAACCCCCGCGGGCCGCTGAAGACATCTCAGTTTTTGGGGTTTCCGCCTGGATCATGGATGTTCGGGCCGCATCTCGAATTTTCCACCGACGGCGAATCAACGATCCCTCGTTGAAAAACCCTGGCGAAAGACCTGCCCATATGCAGATGTGAGTGCCGCAGTTGTGAATATCGTCATCGGTAGAAGACCCTACGCGGCCACGAGACGTGTGAGGGTGTACCAAAGTGTGGGCGTGGCGGCATGCGGGCGCTGCTAGACTTCCCTGAAAAGGGCCACCAAACGTATGAGAGGTCCACCAACATAAAGTGGGGCATGCTCCATGTGGGACCACGAATCGAAGCGTGAGCGGGTTCCCCAAATTGGCAGGGTGGCGGTGTGCGGGCGCTGACAGCGGGGCCTTCGGTACACCTCCCACTGGGGGTATGACGCGCGTGAGGGGTGTGCCAAAATTGGGGGGGGACTTGGCTGCATGCGGGCATTGCAACGCGGGCATTCGGTGGAGCTCCCGATGGGGCCACGAAACGCGTAGCAGCCTGCCAAAATGGTAGGGTGGCGGCATCCGGGCGCCGTCGCTAGGGCCGTCAATGAACATTCCGGCGCCGACACAAGGGCCGTCGGTGGAGCGACCGACGGGGCCGCGAAACGGATGAGGCGTGTAGCCAAGCGGGGCGAGGGCGCGAGCTCTGCCGCTGGGGCCTTCGGTGGGGCTCCCTATGTCCCTATGTTACACCCCCCCACCGCTGTCCTCCTTTTCCTCTGTCTGCTCTCCCTCCTCCTCCTCCTCCTCCTCCTCCTCCTCCTCCTCCTCCTCATCACCCTCCTTCAGCCCACCTGCTCGTATCCCTTTTCGTACTCCTGAGCTTATAAGTCCTCTTCGTCGCCCTCCAACTCCTCGTCCTCCTTCTCCTACGTCGCCCCGGGCGACCCCCGGGGGCCCCCGGGATGCCCCCCCGACCGTCAAATAATTTCCCCACCAGAAATCTCCCGGGAAAAAATCCCCGTTGGAAATCTCTACAGAAATACCCCAGAAATCTCCCAGCAATCTCCCCCGTCGGACATTTCCGCGGAAATCTCGCGGAAATCTCCAAGAAATCTGTTTGAAATCTTCCAGAAAATCTCCCCCGTCGAAAATCTCCCGGGAAATCTTCCGGAAAATCTCCTATCTCCTGGAAAATCTCCCACGTCGGAAATATCCCTGGGACATCTTCCTGAAAGTCTCGTGGCCAATCTCTCCCGCCAGAAATCTCCCAAGAAATCTCCCGGAAATCCCCTAGAAATCTCCCCAAAATCTCCCCCGTCGGCAACTTCTTTGGAAATCTCGCGGAAATCTCCCATGAGATCTTCCCGAAATCTCCCGGGAAATCTTCACCATCCCGGGAAATCTTCCAAACAATCTCCTGCATGGGAAATCCCCCCCGTCGGAAATCTCCCAAGAGATCTTCCGGAAAATCGCCTGGGAAATCTCCCCCGTCGGAAATCTCCCGAGAAATCTTCCAAGAAATCTTCCAAGAAATCTTCCGGGAAATCTCCCCCGTGTGAAACTAGAGCCATACAGTGTGAAATAGCACACAAGGGTGACACGCGTCGCCCCGAAAACCGTGTGGGCAAAGCCCAATTGTTCCACCCGTACTGTGGATGCCAACATGGGACCAGACAGTGTGAAACAGCACAAGGGTGACACGTGTCTCCCCGAAAACCGTGTGGGGAAACCCAACTGTGTCACTCGTATCCTGGATGCCAACGTGGAACCATACAGCGTGAAACGCCACAAGGGTGACACGCGTCACCCGGAAAGACGTGTGGGCGAAACCACTCGTTCCACTCGTATTCTGGATGCCAACATGGGACCATACAGTGTGAAACAGCACAGGGGTGACACGTGGCACCCCGAAAATCGTGTGGGGAAAGACAAAGGGTTCAACTCGCATTTTCGATGGCAACATGAAACTACGCAGCGTAAAGCAGCACAGGGGTGACACACGTCAGCCCAAAAGCCGTGTGGGAGCGCCCAATTGTTCCCCTCGTATTCTGGATGCCAACATGGGACCATACAGCGTGAAACACCACAGGGGTGACACGTGTCACCCCGAAAACCGTGTGGGCAAACCCAACGGTTCCACTCGTACTCTGGATGCCAACGTGGGAACATACAGTGTGAAACAGCACTATCACTCCGAAAACCATGTGGGCAAAACCGAATTGTCCCACTCGTACTCTGGATGCTGGCATGGGCACATACAGTGTGAAACAGCACAGGGGTGACACGTGTCACCCCGAAAACCGTTTGCGGAAACGCAGCTGTTTCACTCGTATTCTGGATGCCAACATGGGACCATACAGCGTGAAACAACACAAGGGTGACACGTGCCACCCCGAAAACCGCGTGGGCAAACCCAACTGTTCCTCTCGTATTCCGGCTGTCAAACTGGGGCCACTCAAGGTGAAACAGCACAGGGGTGACACGTGTCACCCCGAAAACCGCGTGGGCAAAACCCAACTGTTTAACTCGTATCCCGGATGCCAACATGGGACTGGACAGTGTGAAACAGCACCACGGTGACACGTGTCGCCCCGAAAACCGTGTAGACAAAACCCAACTGTTCCAATCGTATTCTGGATGCCACCATGAGACCACGCAGTGTGAAGCAGCAGCGGGGTGGCAGGTGTCAACCCGAAAACCGCGTGAGGAAACTCAACTGTTTCGTTCGTATCCTGGACGACAACATGGAACCATACAGTGTGAAACACCACAAGGGTGACACGCGTCACCCCGAAAACCGCGCGGGCAAGCCCAACTGCTCCACTCGTATTCTGGATGCCAACATGGGACCATACAGCGTGAAACACGACAGGGGTGACACGTGTAAACCCGAAAGCCGCCTGGGCAAACCCAATTGTTCCACCCGTACTCTGGGTACCAACGTGGGACCAGACAGCGTGAAACAGCACAAGGGTGATGGACACATGTCACCTCGAAAACAGCGTGGGCAAAACCCCAAACTGTTCCACTCGCAGTGTGAATGCCACCATGGGGCCATGCAGCGTGAAACACCACATGTGTGACACGCGTTACCCCGAAAACCTCGCGGGGGAACCCGATTGTTTCATTCGTAGCCTGGACGCCAAACTGGAACCAGCTAATGTAAAACAGCACAGGGGTGACATGTTTCACCCCGAATACCGCGTGGGAAAAAACAATTGTTTCACTTGTACTCTGGGTGCCAACATGGGACCATACAGCGCGACGCAACACAAGGGTGCCACGTCTCACCCCGAAAACCGTGCGGGCAAAACCATAATACCGTGAACAACGCAGGGGTGACACGAGTCACCCCGACCCCATGCGACGGATTCCTTCTGCAGGGAATTGCCAAAGGACTCCTTTCGTGGACGACTACATTACTCCTTAGGTAGAAGATTACAATTGGTTTCCATGCGTGGAGCATTCAATAAGATTCCGTTTGTGGCGATTCTCGGCCAGGCGGGATGGCCCGGAGATTTCGCCGGAGATTTCGCTGGAGATTTCGCCGGAGATTGCGTTTCCAGGAGATCTCGCCAGAGATTTCGCCAATGAAGTCTGCTGCCGGAGATCTGAAAGGGCCCCCGTACCGCTACCGGAGATTCCATGGGATATGTTCGCAAGATTATGAAGGTGTTTCTGGTTCGTACCTTACTCTAGATTGACGCAATGCAAGACTAGGGCCGTAGTTGAAGCTAAACGTTTCTCCTGCGTGCCCCAGCTGTTCCCGCTATAACGCTCACAAAATGCGAGCGCGCGCGTCGCTCTGCACTGGGGGGCGGCCTTTGGCAAGCAGCCTGCTCCATGGGCAGAAATCTTAGACCCCGCGCGCGAGAGGTGCGTCGCGGGCGAAGACAGCCCTGGATCCTATAGGGTCGTGAGCGCGGACATTCGGCACGAGGCACTCAGGCTCACTCTGCACATTTCCAATTTTGCGCACGTCAACCCGAGCATTGAGAGCGACGAGAAGAGACCATCCTGCCTGCGTGCCCCGATGGGAAAGAACAGCAAGCCAGACGCGGAGACAAGCAACACTCGAAGAAGTAACAGCCCGCGTTTGGAACGCAATGGTTCCTCATGGCACGAGCGCTCTCGTGCTGAACATCATCATAAACGATGCGTCGTTTTGGGTCGCTTAGCCTTGGCCTCAAGCAGGGACTCCAGGATCGCACGCTTGTCACCCCTACGCTTCTCCCAGAAACTGTCCGCCGCATCTTGGTCGACAAACACGTCATCGAACTCCTCATCCATGGGAGCAGGCTCGGCGACACCTGATCCTTCCATCGCCACTGTTATGAACCCCAAGGCCAGGCACCTGCGCATGCGCACGGAAGAGCGTCGCAAACTCCTTGACGGCCTCGGACTCGACCATCTTCTTGATCCCGGCCGTACCGTCCAGCAACTCCAGTGGAACGCCGAAGCTGCCGACCACAGGAGACCCGCCAAGAGGCAAGTATGCCACCAACTGACTCTGAAGCTCGGCACACTCCTTGTCGGCGGCAGCGCGCTTCGTCTTCAGCTCCTGCTTCTCCTTCTGCGCCTGCTCAAGGCGCTTGTCACACGCAGCGATGTCGTCGCAGATCTTGGACAAGCGGCCTTTGCATCGATTGAGCCTGTGCCCCACATTGTCGCTGCGTGAGGTCAGGTTTCCTGCTCTCGATCTTCGCTTGCACTTCCTTGCGCTGCTCCTCGAGCAACTTCTTGGCGGCAGCAGCAGGCTCCCCTTGCATGTGGCGTGTTCGAGCTGAGCCGCCTCTGTGCGCAGGTGGTCGGTCCTCCGAACTGGTGTCTGCTGCAGCCCCTGCGGCGCCACTCGCACCGCCGCCCTGCTGGGCTGGTGCACGCGCTGGCGCCATGAATTGCTCGAATTTCCTGGTGTGATCGGCGGGTTGCTTCTCCAATCTTGCTTCGCGCTTGGACCCGGCAGCAAGAGGACGGCTGCCATGCCCAGGACTGCGCCCGGCATCGCCACCGGTGAAGCCTTGCGCCCGTTTGAGCATCGCTGCTGGCGCCTTGACTCCACATCGGCATCGCAGCCGGCACGCCCAATTGGACGTGAACCCGCACTTCTGGCAACCCCGGAAAGGCTGCTTCGGCCTGCGGACCACGTCGCCATCCATGGATGCCCCAGCGAGGCAAAAACCTGCGGGGTTTGACCTACACTGAAACTGAATCAGCCAAATGGCACGCGACAACGACTGCCGCTCTGAAGACAGCTGTCGCAAGCCCAGAAAACCTCAGCCAGAACGGCTCTTCGAGTCAAAACGGTTACGGAACTTCACGGACTGTAAGCGGCTCGTTATCACAAAGTGTGGTTCTCGCCTTAGCGCCACGATGATTCGTTCTAAACATTGCCAGAATTTCACGGGTTCCCAAATCAACGTGCCACAACTGGTGCGTTGAAAGACTCAGGGTGGTGAGGGCGCAACATCTACATTTATTCGCGGTGCTTCATTTCCAGGAATGGACTTCTGGCAAGATTCTGGATCGTCAAGACGCATCAGTCATGTTGAATCATGACGTTGGAGTCCCCGGAACTGTGCCTTGGCACGCTTCAGGGCCTTCAAACGGTTCTCCCCCAACTAGCAGGTCCCTCGGTGGAAATGAACCCTTGCAGACGCCTATGGAAAGGGAACTTGGGGGGAGTGTTTATTCCAACATCTTTGATGAGCCTTGGGCATCCACTGGTCCTCCTCCTCCTCCTCCTCCTCCGTTCTCCTCCTATCCCTTCTCCTCCTCCTCCTCCTCCTCCTCCTCCCTCCTCCTTATGGCTATACTTCCCCTAATCATCCTCTTCCTTGACCTCAACCTCAGCTGAGTATCCTCTTCTTCCTCCTTCTCCTCCTACCCCTACTCCTCCTACACTTACTCCTCCTAATTCTCCTCCTCCTCCTCCTTCGCCTGCTCCTCCTTACTCCTTTCCCACTGTTGCCCACCTCCTTCTCTCCTAAACTCAATCCCAAACGTAAGGTTTGCACCTCCGCCCCCTGAAACAAGGCTCCGCTGTTGGATTTTCTAGGCTTTCACATAAATCCTCTTCTGCCGCATTCTTGCTCTCGTCTCTGTCACTCTCTCTCTCTCTCTCTCTCTTTATCTCTCTCTCGCGCTCTCTCTCTCTCTCTCTCTCTTTCTCTTTCTCCATCTCTCTCTCTCTCTCTCTCGGGCTGTCTCTCTAATCCGCCACAACTGAGTCCTTGTGTAAGCCAAGTCGTCTCGATAGGAACTTGTGTGTGGCAGACGTACAGGATGGCCGAGGGCCTCGGGGGGATACGGGCCAAAAACCTGAAAACCAATGAAACGAGCCTGAAACAGAACAACAAAGACAAAACCCTGAGACTCTCTGCGGTTCTCCAGTGTACAGCCATATTACAACTACATTAAGCGAGATGTTGGCATTGCACGTTCGGGTTCGGAAGACCCGAATGTGCACAATCGATGTGTACAGCGAGTGCAATCTTCGGTCGCATAATGTATCAGCTGTTGTTAAAGTGGTTCTATGTGTCGTGGTTCGTGTGGTTTGTTTTGCTTGTTGGGTCCACCCCACTTAGATGCATAGTAAATAACGCTACGCATATAATTGGAATCAGCTGGGTCTGGGATCTGCTCAATTTCGATTCGGTCAGAAGCAAAGTCCATACATAATCCAGTCTGGATCACCCGGATATGTGATCTACCTCATTCCAGTAACATCCGATCTACATCCCAATGTGGACAGTACTTGAATCAGCTGGACCATTCCAATTAGATTTCAATTAGACTACACCAGGAATACAATCCAAATCAGCTGGAAATGAAGTGTGCTCCATTCCAATTAGCATCTACTTACATTCCAAAGAAATATGATTGGAATCAGCCAGATATGGGATGTGCTCCACGCTCAGGTCTAATTAGTATTGAATTCGATTACCATCATAATCTACTTGGAATCAGCTGGATCTGGGATGTGCTCCATTTCAGTTAGAGCCGAATTGGACTACAACCGGCATCCAATTTGAATATGCTAGACCTGCGATCAACTGGACCTGGGATCACTGCTTCCGTCTGCGAGGATTGCCATTCAGCTGGATGTAGCAAAACCAGAGAGCATCACAAACAACAGAAGTTGTAGAAAAACGCATGAATGTTTGAGGGGGCGGAGATGCAATCTCCATCCCTCCCCCCCGTCAGCCCCCTGGCGAGGGAGGGCAGGGGCAGATCGAGGAGGCGGAGGAGGAGGAGGAGGAGGGTGAAGGAGGAGGAGGAGGAGGAGGAGGAGGAGGAGACGGGTTGGGAGGGGAGTTGCAGGTGGGAAGGGAAGGTGGACGACACATGGAGGAAGACCAGCGTAAGGTCAGGGCCCCGCTGCGTGGCCTCGTCGTGCTCGGTCTCGCCCGTCCGGGTCAGCATGTCGAGGTCCTCGGGAAGTGGAGGATGCGGCACGATACGACTGCAGCTGGGGCCGATGCGTCTCCCCTTTTTCCTCCTCCTCCTCCTCCTCCTCCTCCTCCTCCTCCTCCTCCTACTCCTCCTCCCCTCCCCCCCTCCCCTCCCCTCCCCTCCCCTCCCCTCCCCTCCCCTCCCTCCCTCCCTCCCTCCCTCCCTCCCTACGTCTGATGCAGCTGGGGCCGACATCGAGCTACCAGAAGGAAAACCAGATCAGGGACAAAGGGTTTCTCTTGCCACGGCGAGCCTCGGCCACGATGAGGTCCCCAGGCCCGGATCTGAGGAGCAGCTCAGAACCAGAGCCCTTCCTGAGCCCTGGGCAATCCTTGTGTCAGCGTCTTGACTGCATCCTCACCTTCGAGAGGAAGAGGGTGAGAAGAGGGAGGAGGAGGAGACGGAGAGGAGAAACGATGCATTTCTGGTCTGTGGTATGTTCTACTGTTGGCGAGCCACGCCACATCACCTGGCGCCCCTCGCCGCAGAAGACGCCGCGTCGGCCCGCCCCTTCGCCCGCGCCTCTCGCCGGGATCGCGTCCACGATCTCGAGAAGACATAAAGGCGGATAAACAAGGAAGACAACTCGACATCGCTCGGACGTGCTTTCCCCGTGCATTGTTCGGCGTCGTGCGCGCAGTTCTTCGCAAGGTGATCCAAGATGCTCCTTGTTTGTCCTCGTCAAGAGAAATGCACACGTCCGGGCGAGGCCAAGACAAGGGATATCGCAAGGTATACACCGAGTGCGTGGGAAAACGACGTGACGATTTGGCGTATGCCGCTCAGGGAGGGAGCGGCCTCTTCCCCCCGGGGGGGGGAGACCTCTCTGAGTAGGCCCCCTCGGAGGGCAGGAGAAGCTCCCGAGAGGCGGGGTGACCCTCCTCGACGGCCCTCTTAGAAAACCCTCAACCTCCGAGGGCAAGCAAAAAGGAGGCGGAGGATGAGGAAGACGAGGGGGCGGTTAGATGTTCATTCTGGGGACCTTCCTGAAGCCACTCCTCCTCCTCCTCCTCCTCCTCCTCCTCCTCCTCCGCCTCCTCCTCCTCCCTCCTCCTCTCCTCCTTCCTCCCCCCCTCCTCCTCCTCCTCCTCTTCCTCCTCCTGCCCCTCCTCCTCATCCTCCTCCTCTTCCTCCTTCTCCTGCTCCTCCTCCTCCTCCTCCTCCCTCTTCCTCCTCCTCGTCATCCCCCTCCTCCTCCTCCTCCTCATCATCATCGTCAGCAGCAGCATCAGCATCACCATCAGCATCCGCATGAGCATCACATCAACATCATCATCAACAGCCGCATCATAATCATCATCAGCATCATCAACATCATTATCTTCATCCTGCCGTCGTCCTCCTTCTCCACCTCATCATCGTCACTGGCATCGGCATCAACATCATCATCACCATCAGCAGCAGCCTCGTCATCATCATCATAATCATAAACATCACCAGATACATCATCAGCAGCAGTGGCATGAACATTATCACAATCACCCTCAACGACATCATCATCCGCATCATCATCATCATATCCACCATAGTCATCGGCATCCTCACAATCGACATCAGCACCAGCATCATCATCCTCATCCGCATCGCCATCATCATCACCATCGTCAACATCATCACCACCGCAGCGCAACGTCCGACCGAGCAGCTCGGGGAGCGGCTCGCCCCAAAAATGAAGCGGATATGCAAATGACTACTGCACATGCGCGGCAAACGCACCCCTCCCACACGTCACGCATTACGTGTGGCTGTTGGTCATCAACTGCAAATACTCATCCTCGGGAGCATTCCATGGAAAACTCTTGCCTTGCCGCAATGCTTCCTGCAACAAGAACCGCTTCGACAACAAAAACTTGCGCACATAATCAGTCCACCTTGTCCTGGGTCTGCCCCGGCGTCTGGGGCCGTCAGGTACCCATCGCATGACAACTGCCGGCCACGAGCAAGGAACGCACAGACGCGACATCAATCGCCATCGAGCTCCATCTACTGCTCCGGCCCATTCAGAGACAGCGAACATATTCTTACCCCGCTCCATTTTGCGTTTGAGACGCCTGCCCGACCCCTCCCAACTCTCTTGCTCCAGCTTCGAGAACCCTACAATTACCCGAAGCACTTTGTTCCGAGCGGCTGCCAACCGCGAGCGAGGTCTGCTGGCCATGCCCACAGAAGCCACGCCATACACAGCTGCAGGAGTGATCACATATTCGAACAACTTCAGCCCCAGGCGCAGCGATATGCTATGCTAGCACTGGCAAGCGTCTGCTTGTTCGCGTGGAAGCGACCCCAAGCGCACTCCAATCTGTAGTCGAGATGAGAGTCCGCACGGCCGGTCAGATTGCCGCTGAACTTCCGGCCGAGGTTCTTGTGAAAGTCACGGCACGTCATGACAAGCAACGACGTCGCCACACGGCACCACCATCGGAACCTCGGAGTGGGATACATTCGGGTCGTTCGTGACAATCCTCGTTTTGGTTGCATTCAAGCTGAGGCCTTGCTTCCCCAGTTCCTCGGACAGCGCGGCGAGCATCCGCATTGCCTCTTCTGATGACCCGGCGCGCGACAAAATATCGCCTGCGCGCCTGACGTTGCACGGGAACTCGCCAGGGCCAACTCGCAAACCGCAGCTGGGACATTTCAGCTTGAAGGTGCGCGCGGCCTGCTCAAGCCCAGCGTTAAACAGCAAAGAGGACAGCGAGTCGCCGTGTTTGACGCCGCGAGCAGTGTCAAACATTTCGCTGTCCTGCACCTGGCCTGTCTGGTTCGCACGCACGTCTGCTAACAAACGCAAGCGTTCGCGAGGGACGCCGTGTTCTCGAAGAGCGGCAAACAGCGTAGGATGTTCGATCCGGTCGAAAACTTTAGTCAGATCCAAACTGGCGATCCACAGAGGCTTTCCGCACTCCCACGTCTTCGCGCAGATTCCTTCGAAAGCCGCGAACGCGTGGTCGACGGGTTGGTTCGGTCGAAACGCGACTTGGTCTTCATGCTGGTGACGGTCTTTATGCGGTCGCAGACGTGCGAACAGCAATCTGCAGAAAACCCGACATGTGATCTTGAGCGTCGCACTTGGCCTCCAGCTCTTCGGATCAGATCGCGCCCCCGATTTTGGCAGCGCGAGGGAAACCGTTTCCCGCCAAGACGGTTCAAGTACCCCAGAAGCGAGCAACGAGTTAAGCCCTCTGAGGGAGACGTCGTGCAAGAGAGGCCCACCGTACAGAAACATCTCCAAAGTTACACCGCTCCGGTCGGCGCACTTGCCTTTCTTCACTTTCTTGAAAGCGCGGCGAAGCTCGCCAAGTGAAAACTGAGGGATGTCGCACGGCCCTTTGCCGCAGAAATCTCGCCCCCACTGCGCGCGGCCGGGCGCGCGGCCAGCGCCGGGCGCGCCCTCCAAAGACGCCTTGAAAACCCCGCTCGCTACAGGG